ATCTCAGACTCAGATATCTGATGTTACTAAAGATAACATTTTTATCAACGACCTAATCAAAATGTACAGTCAACTTGAGCTAAACTTTGCTCAACGTTTGATAGAAGGAAAGAAAATAACGGTTAAACGTCGCTACGATGACGTAGGAGACAAAATAGCGGCAATTTTGAACCATTTCTTTGAATTCTGGAATTATCAGAGAACAAAGACTAATACTTACAATTTTGATAAAGCTGGGATAAAGCTACCATTACAAAAGTGTAAATAAAGTCTAATAATGGTTGTAGCAAGAAGAAAGCATACATTAGCCTTATAACCACTTCTTATAAAATAGCTTAAAAATTCTTTTTAGAGCCTATGAACAAAAATCCCACAAAAAGAGCACCCCAGCTGCCCCAAATGTGGTGACAGTTAATAAAATATTTTTTTTACTTTTTTATGCTAAATTTAAAATCATAACTAGGTATTAAATTTCATAATATAATCTTCTAGTGTTTGAAAGTTACAATGATGTAATGTTTCCGTCCTCTCTAAAATAAGGGGGTTTTAAGTTTACATTATCATAAATTTCAAACACTAAATGGTTATTAGATATAATTTAAACCTGTCTATGAATTTGAATTTGGTATAAGATAATAAAATATACTTTAATTATTCCTTGTCTTCATATTTAGGGTATGGAGGGGATGATATTTTTTTTTTTTTTTTTTTTACTTTTCGTCATTTCAGTGTTTACATTACAAAAAATATTTTTTAAATTTGAATCAGAAAAGAAAATATTTGTGTCGTCAGCAAAAATAATATAATTAAGTATTTTTGGTGACAAATAAATAACTTTAATATAAATTAAAAACAGTGAAGGTCCAAGTATTAATCCTCGTGGAACTGCAAAACTTGTTGGCTCAAATGGGGAGAATGTTAAATCAAATGGTACTACTTGTTTACGATTTTCTAAATAACATTACAGCCACTTTAAGTTAGAGTGAGCTACTCCGTAATTACATAGTTTGTTGATAAGAATCTGGTGGTTGACAGTATCAAAGGCTTTGGATAGATCTAAAAATATTCCGAGTGTTTAACTATTGTTTTCAAAACCATTTACAACTTGAATCGAAAAATCAATTACTGCATGCTACGTGAAAGGGTTTTTGCGAAAACCAAACTGTTAATGATGAAGAATGTTATTAGTTTCAAGATAATTATACAACCTGTTGTGCATTATACGCTCTAGCATTTTAGAAAAACAGTAAAGTATGGAAATTGGCCTATAGTTAGATTTTATCGAATCATCGCCACTTTTGTATATTGTAATTATTTTTGCTAGTTTTAATTGGTCAGGAAAAATGCCGTTTCTTAAGGAAAGATTTAAAATTATAAAAAGAGGTTTCTCAATAATACCAGAGACCGCTTTTACAACATCGGGTTTAATTTTATCTAGACTCGCTTTCTTATTTGTTTTCAACATACCAATTGCTAGCCGAAGTTCATCAACCAGAAGCTCCGACTTATCCATTATGGAATCTGATTTTTTCAAAAATGATTCAAATGATTTACTCCCCTCAGGAATTGCACTGGCTAGTTTTTTCCCTATATTTATAAAAAAGTCATTAAATGTTCCTCAATTTCTTTATTTACAAAAGCATCTCCTATATAACCATCTCTTTGCAATTTTTTGGGAAATTATCAATTTTTTAATCGTAGGAAATGATAATTTAATTTTTAAATTATCATTTCCTACGCTTGTTATTTTTTTAATTACATTCCATGTTTTTCTTGCATTTCCAAATGTTTTATAAGGAATTTATAAGCAATAAGAAATAGTAAGTTTTCTTTGATTGGTTTTTTAACTTTTCGAAAGTATTTTTGTGTTTTTTGTATTTTATATCATTTTTGTAGTTTTTTTTTTTTTAATTTTTGGTAAAAATTTTGTTTCTTTTTTGATGACTTAATGAGTCCTTTCGTCATCCACGGACTAAGCAAATTTTTAGAATTGATAATTTTTTTAATTTTCGGAAAGGCTTTTTTGTGTTGCTTAGTAAACACGCGAATAAAAAAATCATAGCCATTATTTACATCATTGCAATCAGTCAATAGTTCCCAGTTTATTTCTTGAAATGGTCGTGAAATGAAAAAGTGACGATTGATTCATTATTTATGTTCCTTACATAAATAGTTTTTGTTTCTTTTTTTTTTCTCAGGGGTTGCCGAATTTGTGATCAGAAAAACTGGAAAATGCTCAGTGATATCTGTTTTAATAATACCACTTTGCATTTTAGCCTTTGTGTAATTATTAGTAATGATATTATCGATAATGGATGCAGTTGTTTTAGTGACGCGTGTTGGCTTGTTAATTATGGGAAAAACGCTGTATTGCAAAAGTGTATTTATAAAACGCGCAACGTGGTTATCTGTTTTATTCTTTAGAAAATTCAAACTAAAATCACCCAGTAAATACACGTGATTTTTGTGAGCTTTGGTAGCAAGTAATTTATGTGGTTTTCAAACTGATTGTAATTACCATTAGGCGGTCTACATAATGGTGTTATAAATGTATTTTTATTTGTTTTATTAATTATTTCAATAGTAAATGACTCACAATCAGCGTCATTTATTTTGAGGTTATCTACATGTTTAAAGGTCAATGAGTTTGGGACAAAAATAGATACGCCCCCGCCAATGCTGCTTTTTCTCGGTTGATGGATGGATTTATATCCTGATAATTGAAAGTTAGAATTAATTGTGTCTCGATGCTGTTTTCTCTCGGTTGATGGATGGATTTATATCTTGATAATTAAAAGTTAGAATAATCGTGTCTCGATGACACCAAGTTTCTGTCAGACAGATAATACTGAACTTCTTTTTTATATTATTTAACATCAATTTTAAATTTTCAAAGTTTTTATTTATGCTTCTGATGTTTAAATGTAATAATGAAAAATTAGATGATGAAGAATTAAAAACATCTTTAACATCGTCAACATTGTTATAAGCTGTTTCTACTAAAATTTCGTCAAAAAAGTTATTGTTTTTATCATTGTCATTAATTCGGTTAAGTGTATTTTTCCTTCCTGGTATTTCAAAAACAATATTATTGATAGCTTCCGCCATTTTAGCAATATTAACTAAGAATAATATTTAAAATAACAAAATATAAAAAATATAAAAATATAAATTTTGTGGTTTTTGGTTCCCAGACTCCAATTTCGCAATATTTTGCAAAACTTTCTCAATTGACATATGTATAAACATACTTATGTTTGGAGTTTGCACAAGGCTCAAGTGTCCTTTCCGAAGCATAAATAAGCATAAAATGCTATCTAAGTTATTTGTTTGAGTTTTGAAAATTTGTTAATAAATTATGTTTCAATTTGTTTATCAATCAATCTGACTAAATAAATTTGAATCATTTTTTATCTGTATTTATATATTTATCTGACATACATTAATTTTTTATCTGTAACACTTATACATGGTTATTAAAATCGATTACTAAAATAGTACACGCTACATTAGCATGTTACATATTGAGACTGAGAAAGCGAAAGCTTACGGCTTTGAGGTTCGAAACAATTGGGAGTATCATTCAGGTACTTACGATTACAATGGCAGTGAAAATGACTCACTGTTCAAATCTTTATTTTTGGACTCGTTTAAAGAAGATCCAATCAATAACAAAGATGAAGTAACGCCAAATGCTCAGTATGTATCCGAAGTAATTTATAGTGCAGATTTTGACTCGAATAATCAAACTAATGAGATATCTCATTAGTATATCTAGATATCAACACAAATAATGCACATGACGTAAAAAGTCGTCAAGTAAAAGTAAAAGGTAAAAGTAAAAGTTCAAATTAAAAGGTCAGGAATATACTGATTAGTTACTTTTTAATTATTAGTAATTTTGTAATTTTGGATTTATAATGATTAGTTACTTTTTGGAATATAATGATTAGTAACAAAACTTATCATTAAAAAATCAAATTTTAAGCCGCTTTTAGTCGAAATATTTGAAAAATGTGGATGTTTGAAGTGTGGATGTTTAATTTACATAATGTCTAAATGTTAATGCATTATCGCTTGAAAATTATTTCTCTACAAGCTTCAGTCTCCGTGCTGTTTTTATGTAAATGGTGATAAAACCTTATAAATGATTTCACTGACTTCCTACTTTATAACATCAGGAAATGCGGACCACTTAAAATGATTGTTGACTCTAAAAACTTTATATAGCTCATAACGTGACCATCAACAAAAGTAAACATTATTGAAAGTAACTTAATAAAAACGTTGGAATTTCAAAAGTTCGAAAGATTTTCAAACTAACTGAAAATGAAATACAATGTTTATAATCCCAGGATAGGAAAACTTTTTGGAAATAGCCATTATTTAATTTATTTAACACCCAATGTAATTTACAAGATAAAAAAGAAAAATAAGAAAGTTATTTCTCGTGATTTTCACTCAAAAATTTTTCCTTCAGAATTTGTTTAAAAGTTCCTCTTTGCTCTTTCGCATTCCAGCACTCTATTGCATGTTTAAAAGTTTGTTCAACTTCGGAAGAAAATTTCACTTTTAGAAAGTGCTATTTTTATCTTCATTTTATTTTGAATTAAGTTTTGAAAGTTTAGCATCCGAAAGCGGCATAAGTCCTTGATATCGCCAACAAACGAATGTTTAAATAAGGGGTGTTTCAGTTGTGTTAAATGATGCTAATATTTTTCGTTCAATAGGATTGGTTAAATTTTTACAATCATTACAAATCGTTCAATTTAGTGCTATTGTTGTAGTTGGTTGACAGTAAACTTACGTGAATCAAATATTGGACAGAGTTCAATTTAGTGCAAAATCTGTTGTAGTTGTTTGACAGTAAAGTTACCTGAATCAAATATTGAACAGAGGAAATTAATTTTTTTTTAAAGTTAATTTTTTGTTTCTTAACATTACAACTTTGTATTTAATTAATAAAGATTAGTAAATATATCGGTAATAACAAAACTTTACAAAGTGGTTTTAAAAAAACTATAAATTTACTCAAACACTGAAAAAAGCACGCGGAAAACTTGCAGAAGACCACATAGAATTATCTCTAAAAAGCGCTCCACGATGCCATAAATATTAAACATATTTAAAAAATTTTTAAGCAAAATAATTACAATATAATGTCAAATGAGAATTATACAAATATATTTATCGCTTTTTTTTTTTTTTTTAAATGTTATGTTCATTTAAATGTATTTAACTTTCTACACCACTCCAATTTCGTCTATATGGCAATCAGAGTGTGGCAATTTCATTTTGTTCCCTCCTGATAATGCCTACACTTTTAATACAATTGAAAAGTCTCACACCAAGGACTGGTTTCCAAGGATCAATTTTAAAGAATATTTGTGTTACCCATCGAGTGGCACAAAATTCAACATTCGAAATCGTAAATATAATTTGAATTCCATAAGATTCTTTCATGTATGAAATGTATTTTTGTTCGAGAGAGTTATATATGGCCCAAAATTAAGATGATTTTGAAACCTGTCAAAAATAAATAATAATTTTACTGCAAATTTGAACAATATGCTCTTGAAAAAATTAAGACTCTTTCAAATAAAAATAAAATGCATTGCTTGTTATGTGTATCTATCTTTGAAGCCATAAAACTACTTAAAAATCCGTGTATTTTCATTACAAATATTCATTTTTTACAAGGCACAAATTCGAAATCTGTGTAGTGCTATTATTTTCTGTAGAATTGATTGCATTATTGAACAAAATGTGCACTTTAAAAATGTATTATAATCAACAAAAAATGGTAGCCACAAATGGATTTCCATTTTGTGTCTGAACATTTCAAATAATAAGTTAATCTGTTCAGCTGAACAGATTTAATTACATAATGAGTTTTACTCCTTTATTGGTGAACCATGAGTTAAGTATTACATTTCATTTTTCTTCTTTCCTTTTTGTTTTCAGCAACGAATTGGAAGCAATTTATGGGAGATTGTAAGAAAATACTAATGCGTCGAGTTTTGAGTGATTCCGAGGCGCCGAGCAACAAATCTAAACCGTCGGAGAAACAAGCAACTAACACATTCAAAAAGCTTTTAGTGAAAAGTGGAATATAAGTTGTTGACAGAAAATTGCCATCTGAAATCAACATTTTTGACCAAGATGCTCCTACCAGTCAATCTCGATCTTTGAAGCGCAAGTTTTTTGATGAGGTGATGTCTTCTGCTGACGGAACCGAAGTATAAGAAGCTGGCGAATAAATTGGCAGAAAAAGATCCCAAAGATTTGAAAAAATTGCTTGAGAAAACAGAATTGAGAATGCAGCAGACCATAAAAATGAAAACTCCCCCAGTATCAGCGAAACAAATATTGGCTTCTGTTATATCTTACAAATCAGACAAACGATGAAACAAATTAACTTATTTCCGAAAGGTTAGTATTTTTCCTCGATTCTAATTTGCATGAAATTATAATTTACTTCCTAATTCTGAGTTATATAAATTTAATTTTTCTTCTAACTCTGAGTTTCATGAAATGATTTTTTTTCCTAGTTCTGTGTTCCGAAATATACTCATTTTGATATTTTAAATTTTACAGACGATAACGAACATCTTTACATCTTTAAATAGAGGTTTTGTATTTGAAAAACGATTTAAAAAATATATTATTCGCATTGCATGTTTCTGATGGCGGTAAAGACGTTGCAACTTACTTTTACCTGTACTTCCCCAGGCAGTATTTGCATAGCTTATATAGCTATGAATAATTGAGTAGTATAGTTGTTTTAAATTATTTTTATTTAGATAATTTCTGGCCTTATAGAGGATACCAATACTTTTCGCAACTTTTGTTGATACATAATCAATGTCATATTTTTTTACTTTCCATGTCATATTTTCGTCAAGATTAATACCTAGGAATTTTAAAACGGAATCTTTTTTTATTTCTACTTCGTCAATATAAAGTTTAGGTAAATCATAAGGCAAAAAGCGTTTTTTTGATGAGGAGTGGAAAAAGATCCACTTTGTTTTCTCAATATTTAAGGTTAATTTATTGCATTTAAACCAGTTAGAAACTTGATTAAGTTCTTTATTCATATCTAAAAAAAGTTTGTTAATGTCTTTGTTTGACAAAAATAAATTGGTTTCGTCGGCAAACATGATGCTTATAAGATTCGAGGCCTTATTTAGATCGTTGACGTATACTAAAAAAAGAAGTGGGCCAAGGATAGAACCCTGTGAAACACCACATTTTATTTCAATTAATGTTTTATTTTGAAGATTAATAGGAAGCAATTCTTCTCCGTGGTAGACGAATTGCTTTCTATTTGACAAGTAGCTTTTATACAATTTTATCATTTTACCAGTTTTTCCGTAGAACTCAAGTTTTTTAAGTAAGATATCATGATTGACTGTATCAAAAGCCGTTGATAAATCGACAAAAACACCAAGTGTATATTGTGATTTAGCAAAAGAATTTGAGACTTCGCGTGTAAATTGAATAATGTCTTGTTCAGTTGAACAATTTTTTTTAAAGCCGAACTGATTTTTATATAATAAATTATTTGAAACCAGGTAGTTGTTTGTTTTTTCTAAGATAATTTTTTCTATTATTTTTGAAAACGCAGGAAGGATAGAAATAGGGCGATAATTATTTACTTTTGATTTTTCTCCTTTTTTATAAATCGGGATAACTTTGGCAATTTTTAATAGATCAGGGAAAACCCCCTGTTGTATAGATGTTTGAAAATTTTTAAATATAATATTTTTCAAACTTTCATACCAATCAATAATAAAGTTCCTGTTTATTCCATCCGCACCGGTTGCTTTGTTTTTTTTTAAAGATTTAAAGGCTCTTTCAAACTCTTCAATCGATAAGTCTAGGAATAAGTCATGGGAAGAGAGTAAATTGATTGAAGTTGTCAAAAAATCATTAAAGGAAATATTTGTAGATGGAATCCAATCAGCCAACCTACTTCCGAGATCAGTAAAGTATTTATTAAATTTTTTCGCTATTTCATTTGGTTCATATACACATACATTGTTTATCATAATCATTTTCGGAAAGAAATTTGAACAGGTTTTCTGTTTTCCCGTTATTTCTTTCAATATTTTCCATATTTGTTTTGAGTCGTTTTTATATTTAGTGATTAAATTAGAGTAATAACTTTTTTTTAGGCTTTTGCGAATTTTTTCAAATAGAGTTTTGTAACTTTTATATATGCGTAAATTAGCATGAGATTTTATTTTTAAATATTTTATATACAATTTTTGTTTAATTTTTGAAGATTTTTTAAGACCCTTGGTAAACCAAGAACAACTTTTTTTTTTTGTTTTTTTTTTTCTACTTTTTTTTGGGGATTTTTTTTACTTTTTTTTTCTACTTTTTTTGTTTTGTTTTTTCTACTTTTTTTTTTTTTGGTTTTTGGTTTTAAGGTTATTTCGGAAACGGGAAAATTCGCATCGTACACCGAGAAGAATGTATTAAAGAACTTATTATAGATTACATTTATTTCTTCATTAAAATTTATATGCTTCCAGTTTAACAATGATAATTGATATTTAAATGCTTCTAAATTTTTTTTGTTAAAAATACGTTTTCTTATAGTTTGACTTTTATTAATGTTAGGAGTTGAAATGGTGTTAATTGTTAGAAAAATGGGGAAATGGTCTGATATATCTGATTTTATAATGCCTATTTGAATGTCATTGTCATATATATTTGTTGTTAAAATAGTCAATAAAGGTGGTTGAGTTTTCTGTTATTCGAGTAGGCCGGTTGAAAAGCGGTATTGCTCCTGATACAAATATTTCATCATAAAATTTTTTTATTTTTTTGTTTTCGCTATATCGTTAGCAATCCATATTTAAATCGCCAATTACAAAGGTTTTTTTCTTTCTTTGTTGCTTTTATGAAAAATGTTGTGCTTTAAGTATAAGCTTAAATTTTCTGACGCACCACCAGGTGGTCTATAACAACATATTAGTAGAATGCTTTTGCTTTTTAACTTTTCGCTTTTATTGTTTAAAATTTCAATTGTAACGATTTCTTTATCGCCATCAGAAACGCACAAATCATTCCTAACGTTACGCGCAATGTTTTGTTTTACGTAAATCAGAATTCCTCCACCGCGTTTATTTAATTGTCTTTCTAATAAAATTGTTTCAAAATTAGGAAGATGGAAATTAGAGTTATTATTAAGCTCATTTTGTGAACACCAAGTTTCCGTTAAGCAAATAAAATCAAAATAGTTTTTAGTTTCTTCTATAAAATGTCGAAGATTTTTAAAATTTTTGTTCATACTTCTTATATTTATGTGGACGATTCTAATTTTTTTGTTTTCATCGCCATTTTTAAAAAGAAATTCTTTTAACTCACTAGCATAATGATAAAAACAATCTACTTTTAAGTCATTAAAATAATTAATTTCTGGATCTGTGTTTTCATCAGATCCAATGTATTTGTTTCTAAAGTTGAAAATAAGTGATTCATAGTCATACATTTTATATTTTTTGTTGTTATCATTTTTTGTGTGCCGAATAAAATTTAAAAGAATTTCTTATACTTCTAAAGCGCGCGTTACAAGTTTGGTATATATAACTTTAGCAAACTTACCCTCAGCTCGAAGTTCTTTTGCTTTTGTAAATAGAAATTGTCTTTTTTCGATTGTGCGATTGCTATAGTCTTCGTTGAGATATATTTTTTCATTCCATAGCTTTCTTTTTTTATACTCATTTAATACGATTTCTCTATCTTTATAGTTAAGAAACTTTACCACGATAGTTCTTCTTCTTTTTCCAGATACGTGCTTCTTCCCAGTCCTGTGTGCTTTTTCGATTGCAATGTTGTTTTTAATTCCGAGTTTCTCCTTTAAGAACTCTTTAACCTTCGATTGGCTATCTTCCCAAGTTTCTTCTTCTCTTTCGTCAAAGCCATCAAAACGAAGATTGTTTCGTCTACTTCTATCTTCTAATTCGGCTAATTTATCTGGAATAATTTTAGTGCATTTTAGATTCTCGTTGTCTTTGTTGTAGATATTGAGTTTAACTTTAAGGTCATTTGATTCCTTAACAGTTTGTTCATAATATTCATTCTGGAAATTCATTGCTTTAGTAACTTCAGCTACTTCTCTCTTCAGTAAAGCATTTTCGTTTTTTAGTTTTTCAATTTCTTTGTAAAATTTTTCTTCTAATTTATCAAATCTCTCTTTAAAGGTTTTTAGTAGAGTGCTTTCATGACATTCCAGAAATTCTTTTACAATTGTTAAAGATTTTGCCATTTTTGAATTATTTCAAATATAAAAACTTATTTTAGCAGCAATAAAAAAACGCGTCTTTTCTCGTTGAAAGCTTGCGCAAAAAAAAAAAAAAAAAAAAAAAAAAAAAAAAAAAAAAAAAAATTAAAATACTTTTTAGTAAATTTAATATGCTAAACATTTATAAATTAAATCTTTATCATTTTTTTATATTTATCTTTAAACTTGAAAAAAATAGCACCGTTATTATTAAACGGTTGATACTTTTTTCCAATGAGCAAATCTAGGTTTCGCGTTTTTATAAAATGAAGACCCGAATTATTTAAATCAATGTAACCGTGCATATTCATTATCTTATAATAATTTGCGATAGATAAATAATTATTATGTATATTGTATTAGATAACTATTTTTAATATATTATAGCAAAATTTGTTTTAACTTATCACTATTAAAAACGAATTCGATATTCAATCACTTATTATATTCGGGTCAGGATTTTATTAAAAACGCGAAAATTTAAAGCCTGTCCATGAATTTAAATTTAGTATAAGATAGTAAAAATATATTTTAATTATTCCTTCACATTTAAGGTATAGAGGGGGTGATCTTTTACGGGTATTTTGGTTAACATACTTAAGTTTGGAGTGTGCACAAAGCTTGAAAGTGTCATTTCCGAAGCAAAAAAAAAAATTCTGTAAAATATAGTGTAAAATTTCATAAATGATATCACTGGCCTTTACTTTGTAATATCAGGAAATCCTAACCACTTAAAGTGGTAGTTGACTCTAACAACGTTATACAGCTTAACAAGTGACCATGGAACAAAAGAAAACTTTATTGAAATGTTAGTAACACAATCAAAATGACTAATTAAAGTTCAAAACATTTTCAAATTAAATGTAAATAAAGAACCATATTTATATAGAAAAACCCTTTCGGAAATGATCTTTTAACCAAAATCTAGATTTTTTATCAAGGCTTTCAAAAGCAAAAATTTTGGATTCTTTTTCGTAGAAAATTACGCTTTTTTTATATTTTTATTCAATAGTACCATTTTAACTAATTTCAAAAAGAGGTTTTGATTGTTCTTTTTTCTTTTTAAAAATAATCACACGTATAGCTTTTGCATACGCATGCTTTTGTTACGATAGAGCGGTTCTAGCTTAGATTTATAGGTATTTGTCTCAAAATCATAAGCTAAAATCACAAATTAAAAAATTTGTCATTTCAGCTTATGATTTTTAGATTTAGAAAGGGTTTTTTTCAGTTATATTGATTCTTATATATATAAAAGTTTTACCTATACTTTTAATAATTAGCAAACTTGACTAAATCATCGATTTTATGTGACACCCGATGTAATGCGATTGCCTCATTTTAATAACAACACTTTGAAGTTAACAACAGATTTTCCATGTGCTAAATGGTCAAATGTTTGACCAACCATAATTCAGAAACTATAAATATTAAAGAGGCTTTTTTGTTATTTAATTAGCGTTACTGCATAACAGATTGAGCGTAATATCACTTTTGAGCGTTGCCTGGTTTTCTCATAAAATCGCTCTTAAGACAATAAGGCCCATTAAAAAAAAATGTTTAACTCTCATAATTCACATATGTGCATAATTAACTTAGTTAAGTTATAATTTATACTTGATAAGTCTAAAATCTGAATATAGATTCTTTACTTTTTTTTTTTGCCACAAAAGCTTGATTGTCCGAGAAAATTAATGAATAAAGATTTGTTTTTGTTGACGCAGTTATAAACTGGTCCTTCATTTAATAATTGTCTGTCTTTATTTCTTCTATTCAAATGATATTGTAATATAAAAAAAAATTAAACAATTAATACAGTATATAATTACCTAACTTTAAAGAAAGGTGTTTTTCTTCAATGTTTCTCTCAAACGGAATAAATTAAAATTGCATTTTTTTAGAGTGCTCCTATTAACTTACGAACTAGGCAACATTTTAAACTATGCAATATATATGCAACGACGCTCAGTGAAGCTATTCAAAAAAAAAAGAAAAAAAAAAGAAAATTTAAAAAATAAAACTACAAATAATATTTTATTTACTTTCTGTATGTCCATATATAAATCTGCATATTGGTAATTACGAAGAAAAAAAATGTACTTAATGTGGAACAAGCAGTTTTGTTGTTCTCTATTATTCAGCTCCATAGAATAAACAATAAAACGGATTATGTGAACTTATTTCAATCAGAAAGATAAACCATCGCTCGTCAATGTGGAACACTCTCCTTCCTGGCGTGCCTTACAAGGGTACTACCTATCCATATATGAAAAAAACACATTTTTGCTGAGATATAAAAAAACACCAAACAATACATATAGAATGTAGATGCCTCTGAGACATTTTTATTTCTTTGCGTAATTTTTTTTATGTTTTTATTTTAACAATTGGAAGCTTTAAACTTTTTTTCTTCGTAATTGGAAGCTAGGAGCTAGCTAGCTAGACTCAAAGCAATATGCATACTTTTATGTTTTAAAGTCAACAAAATTTTACACTAATTCAGGCTAACAGATTAAGTTAACTACATTTTTTTCTTTTTTGTGTGTGTTTATGTCGCAATAGTTTAAAAAATTTACAATAATTTTCAAACCGCTATAGGGTAGGGTGGGGCAAGAGGCCCAGGTAGGGTAAAAGGTCCATCCTGCAGTTATAAAGAACCTAGGTAAAATATTATAATTATTGTTTTGTAGTATGAATGATAAATGTGTAACAGTATTGCAAGCGAATTTTGGTGAACTTTTAGTAGAAATATAATTTTTAACAGAATATTGAAGACTTGACAGGTAATAAGAATAGGAAATTTTGATTTTTTGCGTAATTTTAAAATTTTTTTGTAGATTATTGTTAAACTTAGTTGATTATTTAAATGAGTTTATGTATTTGTAAGCGTACAAATTATGTATTGATTATTTACATAACGTTCATTGTACCATAGAATAATATGTTTTTATCAATTTTTGCACCGACCGTTTTGTGGCAAAAAGCCCAGTTTGTTAATGGGGCAAAAGGCCCATCCTGAGCTTTTTACCCCTTGCATTATTTAAGTAGAATGTTCAAATTTTAACTTTATTTTATTTATAGATATGGTTAGAAATTACAAAAGGAAGACAAAAAGAGGAAGTTATGGAGCAGAAGGTTTAAAACGGGCTTTAGATTCAGTAAAAAATGGTATGTCTTTGCGTAAAGCTGAAAACAGTTTTGGAGTTTCAAGGAAGACATTGAGAAGGCATTTGCAGGGCAAAGTAAGACAAGTTGGAAACAATAAATTAGGAAATCATGTGAATACTTTTTCTATTGAAATTGAACAAGATCTTGTTAAACACATCCAAATGATGGAAAGAGCATTATTAGCTAGAAACGAAACAAGTGAACCTACGAATACAAATGAAGAAGCCGGCAATGCGGTGAATGATGAAGCATCGGTTAATGTGATGGAGACTGATAGGATTGCAACAGGAGATAGCAATGAGTCCGATGAAAATCAACTAGATAAAACAGCTGATCATCCTGGTTTATCCGAAGCATTGCAGATTATATCAGAACTAAGCCCTATTCCAAGGATAAAGAATGTACGCAGTCGCAAACGAAAAACCGAAGCAGCAACTGTAATAACTTCTAGTCCTTATAAAGCAATGTTAATTGAAGCAAATGCAAAGAAGACAAAACAGAACAAGCAAGTAGTAGTTGAAAATAATAATGAGGAAAATGATAAAGACGAAATCGATGTAATCGCAGACAAATCCAAGAGAACGAAAAGTGAAGATGACAAAGAAACCGGGAAAAGGAAGCAATATGCGAGAACAAAATCAAAAAGGACAATCAAAAGTAACGCATCGAATGCTAACGTGATAAGAAAAGGGTCAAAAGAACGAAGATGTGTAGGTTCTGTTACTAACAGTGATGATACGCCATGTTGCATGTGTGGTAAAAGATTTAACGAACCACCCATTGATGACTGGCAGCAATGCCCAGAATGTCTCAACTGGTACCACGACGGCTGTGGTCCTGATGACACTGCTGTCTGCTTTCACTGCCAATAGGCATAATCAATTCAACTAGTCTTACTGTAGTTTTTTAGCTGTCTTTTTAGCTGTATGAATTAGTTTTTTAGCTGTCTTTAAGGGTTATGAATTGTTTCTTTAGATATCTTTTTAGCTCTATGAATTAATTTTTTTTTAGCAACTTTAAAGCTCTATGAATTAGCTTTTAGCTGTGTTTTTTAGCTCTATAAATTAGTTTTTATAGCTATCTTTTTAGTCTATAAATTTTTAGCTCTTTTTAGCTTTATTAATTTTACGGTGCTGTTTGCCATTGTCATATGATAGCATATATGGTGCTACTTGCTAATATTATGGTGCTAAGTGTTCTACTAAAACTTTTGTTGGACATTTTTACACACAAATATATTGTGACTAGTAAAAAGTGTATTGTTGCAATAAATTTTTATTGTAAAAAAAGAATATTTTAAGCTATTAACGTTTGGGGTAAAAGGCCCAGGGTAGGGGCGTTTTGCCCCAGCAATGGGGCAAAAGGCCCACTCTATAGCAGTTTATAAAAGGCATATTTCCATTAAAACTTGAGTAGCCATTAAGAAAATAACTTTAGATACTTAAGTTTATTATGTATCTGAAATAATGGTAACATAAATATCTAGATACGTTTATTGGATGAGTAAAAAAAAGACGAAATTGCTTATGGTAGGCTTCTTGCCCCACCTTACCTTACTCTACCTTGAATTATTTCATGAATACTATTTCTCATCGAAAATACATCAAATATTTGCAGTGCCGTGGCTAGTGAGTTAAAAACCCCCTTCCTTTCAAAAACCTGTAAGTCAAAAAATCTAATTTTCCCCAAATATGTAAATGGGACGCTTTAGCAAACTTGAGGAATTTTTTTTTTATATTAATAATACTCAGGAAGAAGTTTATATTTTGATTTTTAGACTTTTATTTTGCGGCCCTCTCCCCCTATTCTAATTTCGAGGTTAGGGGTAGGCTAGCCACGGCTCTAAATTTTTTTTTTTTTTTTTTTTTTTTTTTTTTTTTTGTTCTTTTATTACATGTAAAATAAGCATTTCGTTACAATATTTCAAATACAAATATATAATAATAAATTTATATATAAATATAATGGTCGTTATTAGAAAATAAAAGAACGCGGGGACTCGTAGAAGACCATACGGTCTTGTCGTCGAGTACCGCTAAGAAATGTTCGTGTTAAAATTAAAGAGATAATTACAAGGTTAAAAAATAAAAATAAGTTAACAAAAGTAAGAAACTTAAAATAATCCATAATAAATACAAGATGAGTTTTATCTATTATATATGTAAATTATAGTTGTTAAGGATACACATATACTTTTTATAAGTTCATGTTTAAATAAATGGTAAAAATAAAGATCACAAAAAATATCAGAAGTATATTGTTAAATCATCGATTGCAAAAATGAGTTCTTTAAGCTTTTGTTTAAAAGAAAAGTAGTTACTTTGATTAATAAAATCCTCAGTAAAATCTTTTAAAACTATTTTGTTCCATAAGAATGGTCCGCGATAATCAATACAAAATTTAAAAAGATTTGTTTGAAAAATGGGCTGCTTAATAAAATTATTATTACGTAAAATGTATTTATTTTTATCTTTTGATGAATACAAATTATGGAAAGAAATCGGGGATGAATTGGTTTTACATTTAAACATAAAACAAAGAATATTAAAAATATTAATCTCGTATATATTAAAAACTTTCATTTCAAATAAAAGAGGTTTGGCATGAGTATAACGGTCTTTAAAATATATAAGACGTGCTACATGCTTCTGCTGACAATAAAGAGGTTTAAGTTTGTTTTTATTTGCACTACCCCAAGCAATGTTTGCATAGTTTATGTGGCAATGAATAAATGAGTGATATAATTGTACTAAAGTTTGTTTATTTAAGACATTTCTCGCTTTGTACAATATTCCTATACTTTTTGAAATTTTACTTGATAAGTTTTTAATGTGGTTTTTCCATGTAAGATTTTCATCTAAACAAACTCCTAGAAAATTAGTTACTGTTACTTTTCTAATTTGTATATTGTCAATAACAAGTGGAGGCATGTTAATTGGCAGTTTATGTTTTTTGGTAAGAGGATGGAAAAGAATCCATTTAGTTTTATCAATGTTCAGGGATAGTTTGTTTGTCTTAAACCAGTCAGATATTTTGAATAACTCGATGTTCACGTTATGAAATAAAGTAGGAATGCTTTTGTGAGACATAAATAAATTAGTGTCATCAGCAAACATAATTGTTATTAAATTCGAGGCTTTGTATAGATCATTAATATAAATAAGGAATAGAAGAGGTCCTAATATGGATCCTTGAGGAACTCCACATGTAATATTTAACAAACTTGATGAAAATGATTTATCAGCATAAACAAATTGTTTACGATTAGTTAAATAACTTTTTAACCATTTTAAAACATTGCCTATTATACCATAATATTCTAATTTTTTAATAAGAATTTGATGATCAATTGTATCAAACGCTTTCGCTAAATCAATAAATATTCCCAATGTAAATTTAGAAATGTTAAATGAGTCTGATATACTTCTTGTAAGCTGAATAATTGCATGCTCTGTTGAATTATTTTTTTTGAATCCATATTGCATGTTATATAATAATTTGTTTGTTAAAAGGTGATTGTATATTCTGTTGTACAAGATTCTTTCTAAAATTTTAGAAAAAACAGAGAGAATGGAAATTGGACGATAGTGTTTTACATTAGTTTTTTCTCCTTCTTTAAATATAGGAATAATTTTTGCTATTTTTAAATCATCAGGAAAAACTCCCTGATTAATAGAGCATTTAAAAATTTGGAAAAGTATGTCTTTTAAAACGTCAAAACAGCTTATAATAATATTTCCGTTGACATCATCAGGACCAACTGCTTTATTTGACTTTAACAATTTAAAAGCACTTTCAAACTCTTCAAAAGACAAATCAAAAGAATTTAGATACGAGTTTAGAGGGTCATATGTTGCTTTTATTAATTTTTTAGGGTTCGGAATTTTTTCGGCTAGGTTTGGTCCTACAGATACAAAATATTTATTAAATTCAGAAGCAATTGATTTTTGATCAAGAAGAAGATTATCATCTACTTTAATAACTGAGGGCAAAGATTGCGAAATTTTTTTAGTGTTGCCAGTAATTTCGTTTATTAGTTGCCAAGTGCGTTTTGAGTTTAATTTGTATTTTTCAAGTAAATTAGTGAAATATATTTTATTTGAATTTTTCCTTAGGCGTTCAAATAATCTTACGTAATTTTTATAAATAGTCTTACTCACAGTTGTTTTTGATTTTAAATATTTAATATAAAGTTTTTGCTTAATTTTTGAAGATTTTAGAATACCTTTGGTAATCCATGGCGATACAATTTTTTTATATTTGTAATTTACTTCTACTTTGGGAAAATTGATGTCATAAATTTCATAAAAAATTTTAAAAAAGGATTTGTATATTAAATTAATGTCTTCAGAAAAGTTTATAATGTCCCAATTAATTAACGATAGTTGATATTTAAAAGATTCTAGGTTTTTATTATGAAAAATTCGTTTTTTAAATGATTTTTTTTCATAACATATAATTTTCGCATAAATATCAATTGAAAAATATATAGGGAAGTGATCAGATATATCACTTTTAATAATGCCTTTTTTAAGCGAATTATTAAAAATATCGTTGGTTATAATGTTATCAATTAAGGAAGTTGTTGTTTGAGTAATTCTAGTTGGTTTGTTTATTAGAGGAACTGCTCCGTTTTCAAATAGGCCATTATAAAACCCATTAATGTCTTTTTTGACATGATACTCAAAGCAATTTAAATTCAGATCACCTAATATGTAAAGTAATTTTTTTTCATGGTTGCTTTTATTTATAACATCATCTTGTAAAAATGTACTAAAAGTTTTAATTTCGCCTGTAGGTGGGCGATAACAACAGCTTATCACAATGTTTTTAGTTTTATTGTTCAATATTTCAATTGTTAAAACCTCTTTATTGACATCAGAAATACTCATGTCATGCCTAATATAATACTGAAGGTTTTCTTTTACATAAATAATTAAACCACCGCCGCGTTTATTTGTTTTCCGTCCTAATGAAATCAAATTATAGCCCGGTATTTTAATTTTATTATCTAAACTTGAGTCATTAGAACTACACCAAGTTTCAGTTATGCATATTACACTAAAAAGAGTTAAATTTTCCTCAAAACTATTGCAAAGATTTTCAAAATTTTTTTTTAAACTTCTTATATTTATATGAACTGCATTAAATTTATCATGCTCAAGAAATTCTTTTATTTCATAACTATAGAAACAGCTGCAGTTGCTTTGTAAAGCACCTGTTTCGCTAAAAAAACTTTGATCCGGATCGGACTCTTTGTTGAGTATAAAATCATTGAATTGAAAAATATCAAAATTCTTTAACTGGTTTGAATCCATTTTAGTATTTAAAAACAATAAAAAAATTTAAGATAAAATAATAACTCTAATATAAAAGAATTTCTTAATTGTCGCGCGTTACAAGTTTATTATATACAACTTTAGCATATTTACCTTTGGCTCTCAGATCTTTTGCTTCTTTAAATAACTGTTTTCGCAATTCCAAAGTTCTTTCGCTGTAGTCTTCGTTTACGTAAAGCCGATCGTTCCACAATTTTAACTGAACATAATTATCCAACGCAGTTTTTTTGTCTTTGTAATTTAAAAATTTTACTATTATGGTTCTATTATACTTTTTTCCATCGCTATTTTTTTTCCCCGTCCTGTGCGCACGTTCAATTTCAACATTACCTTTAAAACCAAGTTTTGACTTTAAAACATTTTGAATCTTTTCTTCGCTTAATTGCCACGTTTCATTTTCGTCTTCCTCAATTCCTGTAAACCTTAGATTATTTCTTCTGCTTCTGTCTTCCAACTCAGCAAGTTTGTCTTTGACAACAACATTTGTTATATCATTCTGGCTTGATGTTGAGTTAGGCTTTTTTTTTATTTCAGAAAGTTCTTGAACAATTGATTCATATTTCTCGCTAAGAAACTCTGCCGATTTCCTTAATTCACCAGTTTCTTTTT